ACTATACAAGAAAATCCATTTTCTCAAATTAAGGTTACTGCTACTTCAAGAACACAATGCTGTTGTAAGGACATCAGTAATAAAATCCCAGCGCTTCTTTTATAGATGATAGTGTCGTAATTCTTAACACACTTCCACCCAATGAGTAGCTGATGGCTTTACTTGTTCTGTTCTTTCACTGGTGACCTTGAAATGGAAATACTGGATTTTCTTGTATAGTAAGGAAGGATGTTACTCTGTCTCCCCCCGCCCCCCGCTCCACCTGGAAATTGGATGTATTGAAGGCGCCAAAACCAACTTTCATAAAAGAAGAATTGACGCACCGAAATTAGGCAAGCAAATCAGCTAAACCAACAGCGTGCTAAGAAGAGCTTTGGCTGATATCACAATATAAGGAAATTACTCAGCCTGATTCTGCAAAAAAAATTTTTTAAAAAGTTCTATTGGTTTCCCACATCCTGACAAGAGCTATCTCCGTAGGGTAGGGCTTGTACAGTAGAGACCATCCACGGAGTAGTTCCTTTGATACATGCCAAGAAAAATGTGAATGCAAAGAAATATCAGTAAATTGCCTTTTTAGACTGCCAATTTTACTTCTGCAACAACCCTGATGATCCCATTAGGATTACTCTGCCTTGCTGCTAACATCAGCATTTAAGGAAAAGAGGTCATGGGAGGAAATACAGAAAAGGGGTTGTTTTTTTAAAACCCCACCCATCCTTTCCCCAATGGAACAATTTCCTTTGAGCGATGCCGTAAGCCCCAGGGTGCGTTTCCTGCCATTTCCTCCTTCATTGTTTTCTTAAACTTATCCTACAGTTGCTCATGATTATTCTGCGCCATCATCAGCTCAAGACCTTCCATTCAGATATCAACTCTTCTTGAATGAATAACCATTGCCTTGTTGGAAATATCAACACTGGAGCTTCCTTTCGCCTAGAAATTTGAGAGCAAATTTGCCTGGCCAACATACAGATACATCTCAAGGCGATAGGCTAGACTGAAAACTTGAAAAAAATATTGTGAAAGAGAGGGAGAGAGAGAGAGAGATCCAGATGGATGGAGAGTCAAAGCAGGTGGTAATTCTTATGCAAACAATGATTGACCCTGAAAATATAATGAGGGTTAAACATGGTTAATATTTTAAGGTTTTTGGTGCTCTCTTAAACTTGGCTGTTTTCTTGCAGACGTTTCTTTACCCAACTAGGTAATATCACCAGTGCTGGAAAGGACTGTGGTTTGCTCTCTGTTTATATACAAATGGCTTCCCCATCAGACCCATATAATATTTGTCGCAATACTTATATGGGAGACAATCAGAAAATATCAAGGCTGTAGACTAAATTAAAAGTTAAAGGTTTCCCTTGCACATATGTGCTAGTCATTCCTGACTCTAGGGGTGTGTGTGCTCATCTCCATTTCAAAGCTGAAGAGCCAGCGCTGTCCGAAGACGTCTCCGTGGTCATGTGGCCGGCATGACTAAACTCCGAAGGTGCACAGAACGTTGTTACCTTCCCACCAAAGTGATCCCTATTTTTTTACTTGCATTTTTACATACTTTCGAACTGCTGGGTTGGCAGAAGCTGGGGCAAGTAATGGGACTCACTCCATTACGTGACACTAGGGATTCGAACTGTCAACCTTTCTGAACAATAAACTCAGCGTCTTAGCTACTGAGCCACTGCATCCCCGTAGACTAGATTAGGAAACTGAAATAAGGGAAGGACAATCTACTCTGTATTGTTGGAAAGAAATATCAACAACAATGGCAAGCAGTTATTATGAAATGAGAATTGAAAAATCTTCACCTTCATCTCTAAGCAGAATTAGTGAAGAGCAGATAGATTTTTTTAGTTATTTCTATGATTTTAATAAAAAAATATCGACAGACTATAGATTGTGGTTCATATAACACTCTAAGTAATATTTTGCAGGGTTGGGCAGCATATAGATTTAATCAACTTGAGAGACCGCCTCCTGCCAATTACCTCCCTTCGACCTATTAGATCGCACAGATTGGGCCTCCTCCGAGTTCCATC